ACAACAACAACAACAACAGTGGTAACTACATCAACCGCAAACAAACTTAAAGACCTTAGCCAGTCATAATGTGTGTGTGCGTATTTGGCAGTGTAATTACTGTGCATTCATGTGGAGAACACAACACGGTCACACAAAATTGCGTGTCTTTGCTGCCACATGAGAAGTGCACATCTCTGTCTGCATGGAGGCGAGCTGCAAGAACTCAGCGAGCACACATCCACACAAACGTTGTCTCAACTGTTCAGTTTGTTAATTTGTGTACTTCTCTACTCAACCGTTCGTCCAGATTTTTGCTCACGCAACCGTGCGTTCATCTGTTTGCTCGGATGTTTGCGGTTACCTGACCTGACCCTCTTGTTCTGTCTGCTGAACGTTGTCGTTACTTGCGGATTTATGAATTGTGATTTAATTGTGATTAAATTGTTAGCTGCTCTTGACTTATTTGTAGCTTGACTTGACTCAAGACTTTGTGCTTTAAATTTGACTTATTTTGAGTATTTTGCAAAATTATCTTGATTAAATCTTTCTTAATATTCAAGGGCGAAATTTTAAAATTATTTGAATTAAAATGCCTTAACACGCAAAGCAACGAAGGTACCCGTAGATGTTGATCTGTAATTTATTTTTTTTACCAAACTTTATGAAAATAATTAATTTAATTATTAAGGTTTATTGTTTTAAGATTCTTTTACTCATTTATGCTATTTTATGAAAAATTAGTTGTTTTTTTTTAATAAATACCTATGTCTGCAACGCAATGATAAATATAATACCTTGTACTCAATAATAATAATAATTTTAATAAAATGTGATTACTTTAATTAGCTTAATTGAAATTTTTTTTTCATGATACAAGATAAAATAATGAATTTTAATGATTTTATAAGAAGAAATAGCAAGATTAATCATAGATTAATATCAAACATAGATTAAAGAATTTTTTTTAAGTTTATATATAAGTCAGTCTTAGAATCATTTTCAACCACAACAATGGGATTAATATAAAAATAAAAACTTAATAAAAAGTAAATAAAAACGTTTTTAAAATAGTAGTAAACTGCAACAACAAAATTTTATTATTTTCAATTAAGAAGAACGATAGTTTCTCTTAAGAAAATAATTATTTTTGTCATTACTGACACAAAAAAAACAAAATTAAAAAATACATATAAAAGTTTTTAATTAACAATAACAATACCCAAGGTAGAAAAGGAAACCTCAGTTCATGGAGCCGTCTAATGTTTTTAATAGACGTTTTCAATAATCAACAAAGGTGTGGTAATTATAGTCATAACCATAAGGTATGTGACAGTTTTACTACCTATCAGTTTTAGAAGTATCAGCTTGGAACTCGACACATGCTTAATTCTTGAAAGAGCAGCAAGCAGTTGAGGTGTATCGTGAAACTATTCCAATAACTACTCTATGAGGAAGATCGCGACTAAAGATTCTTAAAGTTTCCAAGAATATTCAAAATATATGGCAAAAAGCTCATTTTGAATTAGAGATATAAGTAGTATAAAAATACAACTCTTTGAAAACTATCAAATATCCATATTCAGTTATCTTTCGAAAATAGTTATTAATTAATTTTTTTTACTTTATTATAAACAAATAATTTTATTTCTATGAAACCCAGGGTCTTAAATACAGTATAAAGAACTTTTAGCGATTTGTATTTAAGGTAAGACGAATTTTGACATTTCATCACAATGTTTTAGTTTACGCTGTCATATTCTGTGATTTACATCGATACTAAATTCTATCTGCAAAAAAATAAAATTAAATAATGAAAATTTTTGACACAAATCAACCTGAACACAATGCCTCGATCAACTTAGTTCGACATTGGTTATGAAACACTATATCCAGTGACTGTAAAATGGTAGTTCAATCAGTTTGAGCGTGGTCGTCGTATTCTCCACGACAAATTTCGTAAAGGTCTTCTAAGAATGGTTTAAGCACCAGAAAACATAGATGCAGGGCAAAAATAATTGAGATGAATCGACATGTTACATACCGAGAGATTGAGGCATCCTTGAACATGAGTGGAAGCAGCATACATTTAATTTTACGTAGTAATAAATACCCCAGTAAAATAATTATATGTGCAGTACTTAAAATCTAATTTAAACTCCAACAAATTTTGTTAGGGTGAATTTAGTTTATTATTTGTTTTTATGTTTAGTAGTGTAATTAAAATAATAAAAAAATTTTATTCAAATTAATTTTTTTTAAGTGAAAAATTAACTTTATTTTAAATCTTCATAGAAAATATTTATATGTGCAATTCACATTTTTTGCTAAAAACAATTAATTATTTTATGTGATTCAATTTTTTTTATTTTTCAATAAGGTAATGTGTTTCCATTATTTATTTTTATTAACTGTATCCTATGTGGCATTGAATCTACCAATTTTTTTAATAGTAGGAGGTCAATTTTGGCCCATTCGTCCAGTATGTCCTTTTTCAGCTCTTTAAGAGTATCGTATTGCTTCGAATAAGCATAAATATTGGCACTAAGAATACCCCAAAGATCCTCTATTGGATTTATGTCAGAACTCATAGCCGGTCAATCTAGCAATGGGATGCTTCTCTCTTCAAATAATTTCTTTGTAGCACAAGGAACATGTATTGGAGCATTATCCTGTTGGAAAGTCCAATTATCTCCATGAATATTTTCAGCGAAATTTATCAGTTCGCTATCCAACGGATTTATGTATATTTCCGAATTCATTTTTGATGGTACGAAGCATATATTAGACTTTCCCTTCGAGCTAAAGGCAGACCACACCATTAGTGAACCACTACCATGGTTGCGTTTGTTGCAATTCTGACGTGGATGACAAATATCTCTCCAATATTTATGTTGACCATCTGGACCATCTAGATTAAACTTTTTTTCATCACTGAAAACAACTGTTTCGAATTCCTCGTCCCAAAACTTATATTTGTCATGAAAAGCTAAACGAGCATTTTTATGTCTTTGTGTAAGGCGCGGTTTGGGAACTTTCGACTCATATTTTAGCGTTAAGTCTTTTTTCATAACTTGTTGCACGCATTGCCTAGTGATAGACAAATCTAATTCATTTCTTCTTTGTCTGCAACTCATCCTCTCATTGGTAGCAAGAAGCTGAATATGCCGTTTTGTTCGGTTGTTAATAGTTGGTAAGCGGCCGCCTCTCTTATAACACCATATTTTTCGAGATATTTTAATAAGTTTATTATAGTATTCAGGTGTCTA